CGCAGCTTTTATATGTTTTTAAAAGAATTCACATCACTTTTTGTCTTTTGTCTTTTACTTTCAATGCGAAGATTGCAATTTCTATGTCAGGGGCGCCATGTAGAAATGCACATTTATTCCCAAGTAAATAAAGCCATTTATAGTTTGCGGATTTATTGATTAAACAAAATTAGGTCTTTAATTAACTAAACAAAATTAGGCCTGACCTTCCGGTCTCAGCCGTATATCTTCAATGCTCTCTTATTTTGAGTTAGCATTCGTCAAACACGGGACTGCGCAGCTACGCCGTCGGAGACGCCGGCAGCGGAGCAGTGCGCGCTCATGGCATTCTACACCTTGGGTGTTATAAATTTTTTTTTCTTCCCGCCCTGTTCTAATGGGAATGGTGCTCTTTTGCCCGACTCCAGTTGAGGCCTGTTTATGTAATTAACCCTTTTAGTTTGAATACTTTGGTCTACTTTTACCGGTTCAGGGGGCTTTACAGCGAACAGACGAGGTGGAGCTACTGGATATGGATGGCGGTATTGATTGAATGTGTTCTGTTGCATCGTATTATTTGGTTGGTAACCTGAGCTATTAAATGGTAATAATTGTAAAATCAAATCGGTTGTTGTGTTACTCTCCGTGGAGGAATCGGTAGAGGCATCTGGGTCGGATAAAATATGGTTTGTCGGTATGTTACATTGTTGGGAAGTACTGGCATCGTAAGTGGTGTCTGGATTGGCCTCTGAAATTGTCTTTGGTCTGAATTCCGAAATGAGGGATTATGTGGTCTGCTAGTGGCATATTTTGTCCTGAACGTCTGGTTTTCCAATTTGAGACACAAGTGTAAGGCTTGTGCCAAGTCTGTTGGTTCTTTTATACCAAGAAGTCGTGGTAAGTTGCCACGTAGACCCCTTATAAATGTATCTAATGCTCTATCTTTATAAGATTTGGTCATGGCTATTTCTGTCTGTTTGCTCAAAATCATGCAACTAACTCTGTTTAAAATGAAAGAAAGGTGATTATAAATGCACTGGTAAAAGTCTTCTACCGTTTGTTGTCCGTTCTGCGTCATAGTGGTCAGTTGATATTCCAAAGTACTGAGGTCTCGTTTGTCTGCGAAATGAAGTGTTAGGCATCTAGCTATCGGTTCCCAGTTTAAGGGTTCAGTATAAGAATCAAGGACCTGGTCCGCATGTCTGGTTATCTTGCCGCGGATTGTTTGTAGGATACCGAAGTACTTATGTAGGTGTACAATGTACACTGTACATACCGTTTGTGTCTGCATATGCCTCTAGAATTGTGTTCACACTCTTCTTCCACGAGCTAAACTCATCTAGTTCCCCCGAAAATTCTTTCAGGCATTTCACGATATCTTGTACCCTATCCAAGTCAGAAACGTTAGCGTGATGTTCTGGGTATATTGTACAGGCTGCAGCTTCAGAAAATTCACTAGTTTTAGTGTTAAAGTTCATTTGTTCGATTAATGCTGGCAACCGTTGAGCTATCAATTGGTCAATAAGTGACTCGTCTACATTGCCCTCGGCGTTTCTATTGTTCAAAAGCCCTGCCTGCCTGTTTGCAGCTCTCTGCTGTGGTATTTGTGCTTCTTCTACGGAGTGCAACATTGCAGGTCTTGTTAAGTTGTTTGGATTGGCCATAGTTAATAAGTGAGCAGGGAAAATTATGTGGTTGAATTGGGATAAGCTAGTGTTTTGTTAGTGCAATATGCTTAAATAATAATAATGAGATACATTTTTTTTTAAGTTTATTTCTTATCTTTTGGCAAAACGCGCATGTACATGTAAATAAAGAAATGCTGCGTGTAAGAGCTATCGAATATGAATTGCGAAAATAAATGTATTATTTCTGATGTTAAAAAGTATTAAAAATATAAAATATTAAAAAGTGAAGTTAGTTTATTTAATTATAGGTACTTTTTACTTGAACTTCCGAAATGAATTTATGAATTTAATAATAATTACATACTCTTACATTTGTTTTATTTATCTGATCAGTGAATTCTCTGCTATTTTGTTTCACTTAAATTAATTTAATTTGAATTTTCCTGATATTAGATTTTGTTTTACCCAAATTTATCTATTTTGGCTTACAGTACTAGTGTTGTCGTGGACGCCATCCCTGATGGTGCAGAATATCTCCGGTTTGGTTGTCCTACTAAGGTTCCACTTTCCATACAATTTTAAGGATGTCTTCTGCGAACGGATACTACAGAACGCTGTCCAACGATGCTTTATTCTAACTTTTTTGTGCCGGCCGGTTCAGTTCGGGAGTCGTTCACATCAAAGTTCGGATCACGCACTTAATAGACGTTTTGCTTTATCGTGATGACCGTAGTCCACATTAGAAAATGCCAACTGGAAGAAATCAAGTCCATCCGATCAAAAACAGCTGCCTGAAAGTTTTTTATTTCGTTCCTTCGTATTGGAGTTATCTGATATAGTCGGGCGATCCGGCTCGTTCCGATTTATATACTGCGTGCAATAACTACACACCTTTTGGTGAAGTTTTAGCAAGGTAGCTTTAAAACTGAGAGATTAGTTTTATGAGAAACGGACGGACGGACAGACAGACAGACAGACAGACGGACAGACGTACATACATATTTCGATTCTGATCGTGATGCTGATCAAGAATATATGTACTTTATGGGGTCTGAGGTGTCCCCTTCACTGCGTTGCAAACTTCTGACTGAAATTATAATACCCTTTGCTCTGCAAAGTATACAAATGAATTATAATGTCCTTGTTTTTAATCCCACGAGCATGATTTTTGGAACCTCAAATTTTTATCGGCATCACGAGCAGAATCGAAATACGTCTGTACGTCTGTCCGTCTGTACGTCTGTCCGTCTGTACGTCTGTCCGTCTGTACGTCTGTCCGTCTGTCCGTTTCCGCGCAAACTAGTCTTTCAGTTTTAAAGCTATCGTGCTGAAACTTTGCCAAAATGTGTGTAGTTATTGCACGCAGTATATAAGTCGGAACGGCCGGATCGGCCGACTATATCAGATAGCTCCCATACGAGAGAATGAAATAAAAAATTCTCACGCCGTTATTTTTGATCGGATCGACTTGATTTCTTCAAGATGGCGTTTTTGAACTGTTATTGAATTTCGGATTAAATTTGATCGAAATCGGATAACTCTATCATATCGACGTATTTCCGCGACTGTATCGTATGTAGAAAAATCAAATTTTACAGGAGAAGCTTTTTCTTTATTTTTGTATTTCGGTATTTTTGTGCGATTGCAGTATTTCCATGCAAATTTTTATGGACATACGATAATTTCGCGCGCACATTGTAACATACGATAAAATTGAAACTTAATTTTTATCGGAACTATAGGGATTTCAGTTATAATATTTCACAGGGTAGTGGGACAAATCATTAAAACATTAAAATCTCAATTTCGGAAAAAAGCGACATACGATACAGTCGCGGAAATGCGTCGATATAGCTGGCATAAGAGAGATCGAAAAATATATATAGAATTAATGGAAATAACAACTTTTATATATATATATTTTTTTTTTTTCTTATTGGATATCGCAATTAACAGCACATATTTATATGTAGCTATTATCGTTTTATTAATTTATCTCCTAAATGGTAGGCGGTTTAAGTCGTTAAAATAAGTATTTCATTCCGTATTATAGACAATGGTATGACGAGGAGTGTCGCGTCGCAGCTGCAGCAAAAAACGCCGCCCACAGAAAAACGCTGCAGTCTGGCGCAACGCGAGCTACGTGTGAACGTTACAGGGAGAAAAGGAAGGAAGAGGGGCGACTTTTCAGACGGAAAAAACGGGAGCAAGAAAAGCGAGAGTGCGAGGAACTTGAGGGTGTTACGAGACAGGAATGATGTTCGAAAATTCGACCAACAAGTCAACCGTCTGACACAAGGTTTCAAGACCGGAGTATCTAACTGTCGGGATGAAAATGGAAATCTGGTTACGGATACGCAGTGCACGCTGAGGTTATGGAGGGAGCATTTCTCCAAGCTGCTAGCAGGCGATGACGGCACCAATCCCGCCATTGGAGGAAGCAGCCCGATACCACCAATCGACGACAATGTGGATATACCACTACCTAGCCATGACGAGGTCCGAGTTGCTATAACGCGGCTCAAAAACAACAAAGCAGCTGGTGCTGATGGACTGCCTGCAGAGTTGTTTAAGGCCGGCGGCGAAGAGCTGATAAGGTGCATGCATCAGCTCTTGTGCAAAATATGGCTAGAAGAAAGCATGCCCAACGATTGGAATCTCAGCGTCCTTTGTCCTGTACTGAAGAAAGGTGACCCGACGATATGCGCCAACTACCGGGGAATCAGCCTGATTACCATCTCATACAAGGTCCTATCGAGCGTAATATGTGAACGACTGAAGCCGTATACCAGCACACTGATTGGACCTTATCAGTGCGGCTTCAGACCTGGTAAGTCCACCATAGACCAAATCTTCACATTACGCCAAATCCTGGAAAAAACCCACGAGAATAATATCGACACACACCATCTCTTTGTCGATTATAAAGCTGCATTCGATAGCCCGACGAGGGAACGCCTATATGCCACCATGTCTGAGTTCGGTATTCCTGCAAAGCTAATACGGCTTTGCAGAATGACATTGAGCAGTACCATCAGCTCCGTCAAGGTAGGAACGAACCTCTCCGAACCTTTTAATACCGTTCGAGGTTTCAGACAAGGCGACCCCCTGTCGTGCGATCTCTTCAACTTCGTGATGGAAGGGGTACTGCGGAAAGCCGGTGTACATCGATCTGGCACTATTTTTTATAAAAGTGTCTAGCTCCTTGCGTATGCCGATGATATTGACATCATTGGCCGCTGCAAGCGTGATGTCACTGCTGCATTTTCGGCTATCGAAAAAGAGTCGGCAAAAGTGGGTTTGGCGGTAAACGAGGGCAAGACGAAGTATATGCTGTCTACAAGCAGGGAGGCGCGGCGCCTAGACTCCCATGTGGTAGCGGACGGCTATACCCTATAACATCATCATCGCCGTCTGCAGCGGCATTCCGCTGTCCACAGTCTTCTGCTGGATGCCAGTCAGTTCCGTACAGTAGCAACTCAAGCGCGGCGACTCAACGGGCAGGATATACTTGTGAAACTCGGCCTCGATCTTGCCTGTCTTTAGGTTGACCAGCACGGCTGGAAATTCAATGATCTCCGCTTCTCGCCATTGCGGTGGCGCCTGTTTCTCCCAGCAGGTTGCCTCAAAGTCCACAGCGATCACATACGAATAGGACTGCATGGCCAGTTGTTTGGACTTTCTTGACTTCTTGGTTTTAACTGGCACTGTGTTGGCTGCTGTAATTTCGTCCTCGTTGAGCGACTCCTCGGGATCGTTGGATGGATCTGGTCGGGCTCCCTCCACATAAATAGTATCGATCAGACCCAGTTGTCTAGCCAGTCTTATCAAGGCCATCTTTATTGTTCGATGCTGTAGCTATATAATTGACTTTCCTTTTGGCAGAGCCCTTGTGAATTTATGCTATTCGAAATTCGTTTATTTTTAGTTTGTTTTTGTTTTGTTGCTTTTTTGGCAGTGCAGCAAGTAACGGTAACTAGGCGTTGCATTGGCGGCCTGGCAGCTTTTTGTATATAGTATTATTTACATCGTACCGCGCTACAGTTCAGTTTTAACTCATCCCGTTCGCAAATGCACCGGCCTTAAGTCTAGAGGAGAAACATCGATGGAATCGAGAATATTGAGAAAAAAATTTCATAAAAATCAAACAACAATATCTTATAGCTGCCATTGGAAAGATCGAAAAATCTATATAGAAATAACGGAAATAAAATTATAACATCGTTCTTTTTCATCAGATAAGAATGATTTTTGAAATAAAAAGTTTTCTAACGACTCTTGAATTACGAATTAAATTTGATCAAAATCGGACAACTATATCATATAGCTCCCATATGATCTATAGTCGAAAATATGGAAAATGAATTGAAAAATCGTCTTAGCTTCGATGTTGTTTAGCCTTTATGCATTTTGTTTGACATATTTGATGAATGCATGGCTATATAATTTCTTTCTTGTTTAAATACAATTAAATCGAGAAAAAAAATTTCATAAAAATCGCAGTATTATATCATATAGTTGCCATAGGAAAGATCGAAAAATCTATATATAAAAAAGGGAAATAAAATGATAACATCGTTGTTTCTCATCAGACAATCACGATATTTGGAATATAGAGATTTCTTATAAATCTTGAGCTTCAAATTTAATTTCATTAAAATCGGACAACTATATCATATAGCTCTCATATGAACAACATGAAAAATTAGTAGAAAAATCTTCATAGCTTCAATGTTGTTCAGCCTTTATGTATTTTGTTCGGAAGCTAGCTTTCTTTCTTGTTTATTTTAAGCTATGCTTCGTAATTTGGTCTTGCGCCGAAAACTTTGCAAGTGGAACAATTAACAATCTCATTTATGTAATGCATTATGTTTCTTCTTTCACATTTTTAGGATTGGCAATGGCATATGCTGTTTTTTCGTCGCCAATGTAGTAACCCGTAAGTCCCCCTCAACAAGGACAAGTGGTTTCCAATTTTAAATACCAACTTTATTTCCAATTTTTAGATATTAACTGCGTCGCCTCCGCTCTTCACACTCAGTCAATTACAACTAAAACTCATTCTTCTCCTTCACTCCGGTTGTGCTCTCCTTGATAGTATCGCTGCTCTCCTGCATGACATCGCCGCCCATTGCCGGCTCCCACAATATCCATACCTCGATCAGGTATTTTGAAGGTGTTCTTACTGGTGGGTAATTTTGCCAGTTTGACAGCATTTAATTGTCGGTGGTCCTCGCTGTCTCCTTTTTGCAGTCTTCAAAACATTAAAAATTAAACGAAACAAAGTTTTTCTTTTAATATGCTTATTCATGATTACGAATTTAATGCTGCTGGTTATTACTGTGGGATTTTTATACCCTTGCAGAGCAAAAGGGTATTATAATTTCAGTCAGAAGTTTGCAACACAGTGAAGGAGACACCTCAGACCCCATGAAGTATATATTGATCAGCATCACAATCTGAATCGAAACAAGTCTGTACGTCTGTTTGTCTGTCTTGTTCTCTTTAAGGCCATGTTCCTCTAAAAAATTTTGAATAAGTGGAAATCTTTGAAGTGAAAACTTCTTTAGCGGCGCTGAGCAGGGTAAAAACATTCAAACTCGCGTCAGGGTCCCGTTATGCTGATTGAAAAAGCGTAAGATCGTGGAAAAGGGAGAGGAACTAGTATCTCCCACTCTTTCTACCGTGCCTGAGTCATGGTACAATTATACAAGGTAGTCTCGTCGGCTGCAAAATCGCTCGGGTTTTTTCCCCCTATGGTTCAGTGCGCTCGGGATTTCGAAGTGAGAGGTTGTCCGCGGACGATTTTTTCTCAAAACGTTAACCCTTGTGTGCTTGTGAAAAATACTTGTTGCAATTATTGCAGCAAGCACATACAAGGCGTAACATGTAATATTGCAGAAAAATATTTTGAAATGTGAACAATATGGGAGCGAGTCCTGAAGGGCAGCTTTGTGTAAAAACCAAAAATTTCGGAAAAATTAATACTCATGGTCATATCACAGTCCTTTTTAAACCCCGTGCACAGTATAAGGGAAAACGACATCATCTTCTTCTGTTTCTTTCGCACTTACGGAAAAACACCCTCTCACTCGCACTCATTGTAGTGCCCAATAGGGGGAAAAAAGCCGACGAGACTACCTTGTACTTACACTTAAAAAGGTTCGAATCAAAACTGTTTGTTTCTTACTTCAGTTATCATAAATCAATTGTATCAGTTGTAAAAATGGTGTAAAGATGGTGTAAAAGTCGTCGAAATTATGGATGGAAGTTGATTTTTCTGAGAGATAAAATTTAATGTACCTAATATATATATAATATATAACGATATAATATTATAAATAACAACATATAAATTGCCATATTTGTGTTCGATAGCGCAATAAATAAACATTGTATTCTACCTCTCTCATAAATGATAGTACTTTTGTACTTATAATTAAACACAACGTTAATATTGAAGCTTTTACTTCTGCCGGCACTCCCGGAGTGCTACCGGTGTTTTTTTTTTTTCATAAATTTCTACTGTATAGTCCCGAAGGTCAGCAAGACCGAGAGTAGAGTGAGGAGCTCTGCTGGTAATCCGGCCGCTCGAACGCCTTCAAAACTTCAAACTGATTTTTCTCCGAACCACGTTTTTTCGCATGAGTGACACACTTATTTCAAAACTATTGCACTTATCAATTTGAACCAAACGGCATTTTACTCATTAGATGTCTGGCTATGGCCTGAACCAGAACCAGAAATATTCATTATTATTTAAAAAAGTTATAAACTATTAAAAATAAAAAAAAACAAAAAAGGAAGCTAGCTTCGGCAAGCCGAAGCTTATATACCCTTGCAGTCATCAAATATGTCGAACAAAATGCATAAAGGCTAAACAACATCGAAGCTAAGACGATTTTTCTATTCATTTTCCATATTTTCGACTATAGATCATATGGGAGCTATATGATATAGTTGTCCGATTTTGATCAAATTTAATTCGTAATTCAAGAGTCGTAAGAAAACTCTATATTCCAAAAATCATACTTGCCTGATGAAAAACAACGATGTTATCATTTTATTTATAAACAAATCTATACAGTTTTTTCGATCTTTCCTATGGCAGCTATAAGATATAGTTGTCCGATTTTTATGAAACTTTTTTCTCAATATAAGGGTTGTTAAGAAACTTGATGTTCAAAAAATCAAGCTCGTGGGATAGAAAACAACGATGCTATCAATTTATTTCCATTAATTCTATATATATTTTTCGATCTCTCCTATGGCAGCTATATGATAGAGTTATCCGATTTTGTTCAAATTTAATCCGAAATTCAATAGCAGTTAGAAAACGCCATCTGGAAGAAATCAAGTCGATCTGATCAAAAACAACGGAGTAAGAATTTTTTATTTCATTCTCTTGTATGGGAGCTATCCGATATAGTCGGCCGATCCGGCTCGTTCCGACCTATATACTGCGTGCAACAACTACACAACTTTTGGGAAAGTTTCAGCGAGATAGCTTTAAAACTGAGAGACTAGTTTACATAGAAACCGACAGGAGGACAGACGGACAGACAGACAGACGGACAGACGGACAGACGGACAGACGTACAGACGGATTTGGATTCTGATCGTGATGCTGATCAAGAATATATATACTTTATGGGGTCTGAGGTGTCTCCTTCACTGCGTTGCAAACTTCTGACTGAAATTATAATACCCTTTTGCTCTGCAAGGGTATAAAAAGGTTTAAAAAAAATCAAAAAACCCCCATTTTTATACCCTTGCAGAGCAAAAGGGTATTATAATTTCAGTCAGAAGTTTGCAACGCAGTGAAGGAGATACCTCAGACCCCATAAAGTATATATATTCTTGATCAGCATCACGAGCAGAATCGAAATATGTATGTACGTCTGTCCGTCTGTCCGTCTGTCCGTCTGTCTGTCTGTCTGTCTGTCCGTCTGTCCTCCTGTCGGTTTCTATGTAAACTAGTCTCTCAGTTTTAAAGCTATCTCGCTGAAACTTTCCCAAAAGTTGTGTAGTTGTTGCACGCAGTATATAAGTCGGAATGGGCCGGATCGGCCGACTATATCGGATAGCTCCAATACAAGAGAATGAAATAAAAAATTCTCACTCTATTGTTTTTCATCAGATCGACTTGAATTCTTCAAGATGGCGTTTTCTAACTGTTATTGAATTTCGGATTAAATTTGATCAAAATCGGATAACTCTATCATATAGCTGCCATAGGAGGGATCGAAAAATATATATAGAATTAATGGAAATAAATTGATAACATCGTTGTTTTTCATCAGACAAGTATGATTTTTGGAATATAGAGTGTTCTTACGACTCTTGAATTACGAGTTAAATTTGATCAAAATCGGACAACTATATCGTATAGCTCCCATATGATCTATAGTCAAAAATATGGAAAATGAATAGAAAAATCGTCTTAGCTTCGATGTTGTCTAGCCTTTATGCGTTTTGTTCGACATATTTGATGACTGCAAGGGTATATAAGCTTCGGCTTGCCGAAGCTAGCTTCCTTTCTTGTTTTTATTTTTTATTGAAAATTTTTCTTTCTGGTTCAGGACATAGCTACTGTACGATTTTCGTCAAGGAAAAAATAGTTCCCAGCTGGATCGGTATTTATGGCTTAACTTAGATAAGGATTCTTTATTGATATCGGCCTATCTAAACAGGACGATATAGGCCTGTGTCCATATGTTCTGACCTATCATAAAAAGGAAAACCCACAATTAGTCACGTCTTCACACCATCTGCATTCCTATCTGTAGTAATATTGTCTCTAAGATATCTGTGTCCAACTGGTATTGTTTTGACAGGCTAACCAATATAACAAATAATAGTAATATTGACTAGACCTAAGTAAATATCCTTTAACCCAAAAACATGTTTATAAAGCCTAGGTGGAACTCAATAC